GTAACAGATGAGTTTTCGTCCGAAACCCTGATACTTCAAAAGAGATTGTCCATTTTGTACACGAAGTGCATCCAATTTTTGTCGTAACCCTCTATACTTTTTTGCACATGCTATGTGGGTGAAATGATGATACCATGCCAACTTTTAACCTTTTCAGAGTTCATTTGTAGTGCTTTTCAATTTCAGGGTCATTTAGCTCAAAAAAATCAGTAAATGCATGAAAAATAGCAAATGAAGTCAGAACGGGTTGAAAATTGATGACGTGGCTTTGAATGGTGTATACTGAATGCACAAAAAGTCTGAAGTTGAAATAAGTTTAGAAAATGAAATGCCTTTGTAACAGATGAGTTTTCGTCCGAAACCCTGACACTTCGAAAGAGATTGTCCATTTTGTACATGAAGTGCATCCATTTTTTGCTGTAACCCTCTTTACTGTTTTGCACTCGCTATGTGGGTGAAATGATGATACCATGCCAACTTTCAACATTTTTAGAGTTCATTTGTAGTGCTTTTCAATTTCAGGGTCATTTAGCTCAAAAAAATTAGTAAATGCATGAAAAATAGCAAATGAAGTCAGAAAGGGTTGAAAATTGATGACGTGGCTTTGAATGGTGTATACTGAACCACAAAAAGTCTGAAGTTGAAATAAGTTTAGAAAATGAAATGCCTTTGTAACAGATGATTTTTCGTCCGAAACCCTGATACTTCGAAAGAGATTGTCCATTTTGTACATGAAGTGCATCCAGTTTTTGCTGTAACCCTCTCTACTGTTTTGCACACGCTATGTGGGTGAAATGATGATACCATGCCAAATTTCAACATTTTTAGAGTTCATTTGTAGTGCTTTTCAATTTCAAGGTCGTTTAGCTTAAAAATATCAGTAAATACATGAAAAATAGCAAATGAAGTCAGAAAGGGTTGAAAATTGGTGACGTGGCTTTGAATGGTGCATATTGAACGGACAAAAAGTCTTGAGTTGAAATAAGTTTAAAATAATGAAATGCCTTTGTAATATATGAGTTTTTGTCCAAAACCTTGATACTTCGAAAGAGAGTGTCCATTTTGTACACGAAGTGCATCCAATTTTTGCCGTAACCCTTTCAACTTTTTTGCACATGCTATGTGGGTGAAATGATGATAGCATGCCATCTTTCAACCTTTTCAGAGTTCATTTGTAGTGCTTTTCAATTTCAGGGTCATTTAGTTCAAAAAAAATCAGTAAATGCATGAAAAATAGCAAATGACGTCAGAAAGGTGCACGTTTGTCCGAAGCAGAAAAGTACACGTTTCAAGTGCCAAAACACATAAGAACCCTAACTATTACAAAGATTCCTCACGGTTTGTCCAAAGTGGGACTTTTCAGATATACAAGTACGAAAACTCACTATAGAAGAAAGTGATGACAGTGAAGCCGATCACATCCCAGAGTGGGATCTTTGGGTGTGAAACTTTTTCTTCACGTGTGTCCCTTTGCGCTGTAACCATGGACAATCTTCATCATTTAACTGGATGCTCGGGTCAATATTCACTCTGAATGAAGCAATTTCATCGAACTTTTCATAATCTTCTGACATGTCTGTCTTGTCATCCACCCTCTCGATGTTTCTTTTTCCTGAAAAAACTATGTGGCGCTTTTGCTCATCGTATGATGTATTCGCTTCCTTATCTTTTCTTTTTCTCGGCTTAGTAGACATGTCCTTCACATAGAAAACCCGCGCCACATCATTGGCTAGGACGAATGGCTCGTCTGCGTACGCAAGATTGTTGAGATCCACGGTTGTCATTCCGTACTGCGGGTCTTTCGTTACCCCGCCTCGTGTCATATTGACCCATTTGCACCGAAACAAAGGGTGCAGCCGCACGGGGGCTCGAGGGAGTGTTTCTCTCAGAACTGTTCGTAACTATGACACCGGACAACAGCTAGGTGGGACTAGAAACAATATGGTAGAAATATCATGAAAACAATGCATTATTAAAGCAAAAAGAGAATTGATGGCTCCTTAGATCCTGTCGAGAGAGGCCTTGCTGAAAAAAAAAAGAGAGAGGCCTTGCTGAAAAACCTATCAACCGATGACATCGACACCTAGTGGCAAGTGGCAATTGTGCTCTGCTTTTGCGGAACCTTCCAAAGGGGCCGGTTTTCGCCCACTCGGTTGCAAGGTGGCGTTGGGAACATCAAGTGAAAGCAAAGGATGAAAGGACGAAAATGGGATCTTGCATGTGCACGCATGACAGCTGTAATGTGCTCCACATGCTTGCACAGTTGCACTCAATGCCCACTCTACACATGTCCTGGATTTGTCATATGTACTTATACAAAAGCATAATCACAAGTGAACAGTATCATGGCGGCACCGACAGAACACAAGTAGGATTATAGGAAGCGTGGTAGCCCTCCGGCTGAATTTTATTCTACAGGGAGACATATTTTCATCGATACTATACAATATGCAATCATAGCACTTCCCGAGTTGCTGTTTCTAGTTTAATGATCACACCATGTGACTGCTGATTACTATGCCGAGCCTGAATATTACAAGTGGACTTCTCTGCTAGTAGCCTGGTCCACTTGGATCTGAAAAAGGTCGATGGTGGACTTCCTTGCTGGTTGGTACACACTTGATGCTCTGACTACAATATACTCCCTCCGTTCCAAAATATAGCGCGTCCTCGGTTTCCGTGCTTCAACTTTGACCATTAATTTAATCAACAAGACCGACTGCGGCGGGCGAAAAAATTATACCAATGAATTCGTATTCAAAAAAAGTTTTTAATTATATAATTTTTTATCCCGCCGCAGTCGGTCTCGTGGGTTAAATTTATGGTCAAAGTTAAACCTCGAAAAGCGTGGGGGCGCTATATTTTGGAACGGAGGGAGTAACAATTACTACCTCCGTCCTGGTTTTTGAATCTCCCTTGTATTTTCGGTTAAACTCTGACATTTAATTTCACTATCAAAAAATAAGTTATATAACATAAAAATGATATCTTTGAAAACCTCTTTCAAATATGAATCCAACAATATAAATTTTGTGACATATTTTCTTTGTTTCTAAATATAAGTCTTTATAGAGATTACATTATAAACTACATACAGAGCAAAATGAGTGAATCTACACTGTAAATGCATCTATATGTATCCGCATGTGGTCTATAATGAAATCTACACAAAGACTTATATTTAGGAACGGAGAGAGTACAACTTATTCCACCTTGGACCCATTCTTGAAACTGTGCCGGCCTGCCAAAAACTGAGCGGGCTGGTGCCTTCATATGGCGATGGCCTGCTCGCCGCCAGGACATCGTCGAGCACCCCGGAGTTCCAGGACTCGGCAATAGCATCCCTTCAGTGTGGCTGAGGAGCAAGTGGAACCTGAAACCAGACGCCTTCGCTCTGCCTCTCCCGATTCTGCTGCTGGACAGCCTTCCAAAACCGCTCTTCGACAGCCTTCCGAAGCCCATTGCTGCGTGGAGGAACAAGGCATCGTGTGATTAACATTCAAGGCTCACAGCTTGTCAATATAATTTATCGATGTTCATGGTGATTCTAGTCCAGGTGCAAGAAGGGGGGTGGTCTGAGGAGCGAGGAGTTTGTTTACGTTGCCCGGTTTCATTGTCACAAATGAGAGGTGCGCTTCTTCTTCTTCCTCCATGAACTGCGGAGATGATGCGAAAAGACAGAGTTGGATACAATGATACATTAGCTCTACATGTACATAGTGCACTGAACCTGTTGCACCGAAACAGAGGCGGCATGAGCAGTTTATTTCCTTTTTATGAGTTTGAGGAAATATTCTTTGTCTTTTGTATGCGATGAAGAACTGCAGATAGACAACATATATGGGATAAAAGGGAAACGAGAGGCAATATGTTGTACGTACACTAATGAAGGAAATGGACTTTGTTAGTGCTTGTGTGTTACTGTTAGTCGTGGATTTGTCGTATTAACTCTGTCCTGAAAATATTACCTATAAACTGCCGCAGAATCTGAAATGTGCACATCTATATGAAACTTGACGCGAAGCGCATTCTTAACTTAACAAATCATGAAGCCTTTTGTCATTGCTAAACTTAGGTGTGATCGACAGATTCTACATCACCAAGGGCACATGAACTAACTAGCATCTACCAGCAATGACCTGGCCTGGCCTGATCTTGAATCAACCAAATAAGATAACAGGGTTGCCAACCACAGTCCTTATGTCACGTAACCATGAAGGCTTTGTGTATGAATTTTTTTCTTAAGACAATTGGGACGCCCCATCATATTAATAACAACACTTAGCACGGTCTCTTGTAACTAGCCCACCAAAGACCTAGGAAGCACCATCACACGATGTGCTTTGTATATGAACACGGAATCGTGGAACTCTTTTTCTCTCTTTCCCCCGGGCTAGGGACCAAGGCAAAAGTTGCCAATCCCAGGGCGAACAAGTATAAACTAGGAGTGATGGTAAAACAAAAGTATGAACTAAGAATACTACTACTGCACAAGCTCTCCCTCCCACTACCGTATACAAGGTCTAGTCCAAGCATTTCTGTACAATGGAAACATTTCACCATACTCATAACACCAACATGATACCACCGTGTGATTTGCATCAAACCGCTGTGGGGGCGTTCCCTGGGACCTCCTCCATAGGGAACGTTCCAAAGATAACCGTAAAATAATGGACAGATACCGAGGGGATCAATTAACTCTGCCCATACATGCCACCACCATGATACATAAGAACACTACATCCTTAGTTACTATACTCCAACATAATTCAGCTTAGTTGGTACAACAGATTTAACTACTATAGGGATAAGAGAACGAGCTGCCAACTGGATCAATTAAACAAAAAAAAAAGAGAGAATGAGCTGCCAACTGGATCAATTAAACAACCACTACACTACTAGGTTAATAAGTGCATATATACATGCCACATGATAACATAGATATGACAAACATAACTTCCAACAGATAGTTACTTCTCACAGCTAACTTCCAACAACCACTAAATAAAACTTAGACTCTCTAGGTGACTTGCGATGGCCCTCTTATAGCTGCTCTTGAAGGTCGACATAAGAGACCATACAACAGTTACTTCAATCTCACACGAGAGTATTTCTATCATTTGCCGGCTTCTACCCCTTTTCTTGGGCAAAAAATCCACCCCAAACTTCACATTATCTTTCTTCCCTTTGACCTTTTCATCCTTATCCTTCCCACTGATGCACAGTGCCTCCACCGAAACTCTTAAATTAGCCCTACCAAGCCCATCCAAAGGCTGAACAAACTCAACGCAAACAACGCGACGTGAAAGCTTCACCCGACCATCACCATCCACGGGTAGTTTGCCATCACAAGAATCCAGTAGCAACATGACCTTTCCAGGAATACCGGAGGTCTCAACAGTAAAGACGCCTCGATAACCATGGGGCCACGTCCCTCTAATGAGTTTCACACTCACTGTGGCCTCCACCGAGTCAACCAAGTGGCCGAATGTAAACTTTAGAGTGCTGAGTTTGCTGGTCCAAGCCCGATCAAACAAGCAGGATGCCCATGGGCCGTTACTGCTGTAACAGGCTGCTAGAAAGCTTAAATCTTTGTCTTCAGACTTTGTGTCACCTTTCACTTTAAGGTTCACATCAAAGTATATAGGATGAACAGACACCACAACAGCTCGAGTAGGACCTGTTACTGCCAGATATGGATCCTGCATGAAACATGTAATAACTAAATAAATTATCACAATGTTTCATTCATAAATAATAAGACTCGAAGGCTAGTAGGCTATATTGAAATGTGACAAATCTATTTGATATAGAGTTAGTCCATGGATACACAATTCATTTATAAGGTGGAACTTAATTCTAGTAACTTGAATGAGAAGCCTAGCAGACACAAAATGTAACCAATGATGAGCAGAATTTGACCAGGAGCAAGCGTTCTCAAATCTTCAAGAACCTTAAAGGTTCAAAGGAAATCTAAACGAACAATAATAAGTTAACTGATGCCAAAGAAGAGGTAAATATTAATAAGTATCGCTTCAGGTGAATAGCATAAATATGGGAGAAAATAATACCGTAGCTTGGAAGCACCCATATTGTTCAGGTGTATACTAAAAATCTTAAAGTCGATGTCACACAAGCAATGATAAAAACACTTTCAAGTAAGAAATAAGAATAGAACACAAAAAAACTATCAAGTACGGAAAATAATATTACAAAAACAAATACCAAGTATGGTTTAACGGTCTGCCATCCCAGCAGCAAATGTAAAGAGCATGGAATTCCTAAGATAACACTCATAATTGTTGTAGTCACTAGTCACTGCTCTACGGTTGATAGAGTTTGTCCACGGATACACAACTCATTTATCAAGTGGAACTTAAACCTACTGACTTGAATGAGAAGCTAGCAGACACAAAAAGTAACCTACGGTGAGCAGAATTTGACTGAGAGGCAAAAGCCAATAATTTAGAGTTGGTTCAGGAAACATGTTTAAGTCATCAAGAACTCTAAACGGTGAAAGAAACTATTTTAAACAAACAGTAATAGGTTAACTAATGCAAAAGAAGATTATGTGTATTTCATCTTAAAGCATATGAATTCGGCGTACAAGTACAAAACATTACACCAACTCAATGCTGATGGACTTAGGATTATGTGTATTTCATCTTAATGAAGCCAAAAAGGTTATACAGGTTAATATTATACCAACAATTTGTATAACAACAAGTTTATTTCATCTTAATAGAGCCTACCAAAAAAATTTAATACTTTAAGTTTAGAAACAATCGCATAATGATCCTCTTGTAAAACAGATAGCATTCATGGATGGAAGTACAAATATAAAAAAACCTCTGTGGTAATGATTTGGCAGTTATCCCTCTCACGATGGAAGATCACATTTCGATTGTGATCGACCACATCACGGACAGCGACCATACCGTAGACATCCAACGGCCACTTCAACCCTCCTGTTGTCTCCTTGACTTTGATGGAAAAAATCTGTATAGTGGACTGAAGGTCGGCAAACTTGCAGCCGCGATCAGTGAAAGCCATGGGAGGGATCATCGCTGAAAAATTGATTTAAGAAATTAGTCTCACTTAGCTTTATCATTACCTCTTAATTTCTTGCACACGATCAACAAGCAATTAGGTCGGAGATTGCGAGATAAAAGGTCGAAGTGTACGTTTGGTTTACAGCCAACAACTACCAGACCAAAACCACCAGCAACAGCAAGAAGGTCAAGCACGCCCATGGTGTTAATGTATATTTTGAATGTCGATGTGACGGTGGTAGCTACAAGATTAACACGAGGTGCAGCTAGCTAGCTAGGTACCTACTTGACTGATTATTCTGTTCATTCTGACTAATGTTGCAGCAATTACTTTTGAAGTTTTGATTCAAAGGATGTTTAGAACAGAACAAAACTTGGTAGGTACAAACATCAGAATCGTAGAACAAAGCTAAAAAAAAATTCGATCAAAGGGGAGTCCCCCCGCGGTTCCATTTTATTAAAATGAAACCAGCAGTTCAAACAGGTCTTCTGGTCTAAACCCAGGTTCAACACAGCACTAAAAGTATTACAATATAAAGTTTTCAACACGATAAGCTTCCAGCACAAGAAACTAGAACAAAGCTAATGTTTTGTTGTTTTATAGAAGTTCTTTCGGCCAGCAAGAAATTACTCCCTCTGTCCCATAATATAAGAACGTTTTTTGCACTACACTAGTGCCAAAAATGTTCTTATATTATGGGACGGAGGGAGTAGGTCGGAAGCTACTTACTGATGTCCTCGTAGGAGCCGCCGTCCTTGCCGAACATCTGCTCCCAGAAAACATGGTAGAGGCCTGCTTCGTACGCGTTCAGGTCGGTGCGGGACTCCTCGGGCTCTGACTCCATCTCCTTCTTCCTCCTCGCCAAGAATTCCGCCGCCGCCTTCTCACAGCGCACCCCCGGCCTCGGCTGATACGCCGCCAGCTCCTCCTTTGACATCCTGGTCGCCATCGCCCTTCCTCCGCGGCCCTCTCTCCTACGCTTCGATTCTCCTAGCCGATCTGCTTTATGAGCGAAGAAGAAAACCCTAAACGAGAAGGCAAGAGGGGCAGGATGGAGGTGAAGAAGAATAGGTGGCCCTTCTTGCTTGGGCCAACCAGCCCTCTCGTTTAGAAGTTTTTTCTTTATAGGAAAGGGGCGACGTGAGAGAGTCCGTCCCTGACACCCATACACCTAAGCTGCTGGGCCGGCAGCCCGGTTCGAGCCCTCCGCTCCTCCGCGGCCCAACATGTCTGCCGCCCAACCACCGCCCAGTCGTATTAAACGTGGCCACCTTCCTTAGACCCGCTTGGAAGTGGGTAGAAGCCGCGAGTCGCCGTCCTTTTTCAATGCAAGCATGTCGGGGGGCTCATCCACTTCCTCTCTCCGTCCACATCTGGTCACGCGTGCTCCCTCGCCGACGACCGCAAACCCTAGCTTGCCCTGTGGTTTTTCGGCAAGAGCAAGGCGAAGCTCTACCCTCACGCCAGCTTGTCCGGCGCACCTCCTCGACGCGGCGGTCCTCCACGGCAAAGGGAGCGGTTGTACATCCATGTGCACCATGCGCGGTGGCACCGACAATACCGCTAGCCGATGCCCTGTCCAGATGTCCACCTGCGCCACGGCCGCATCTGGACATGCACCGCATCCCGGTGTCGGCGGTGCCACAGTCGACGCGGGCGCATGCCAAGGAGGTGCACTGGAACCGCGAGCTCCTGACACCCGAGCAGCAGCGGCTCCCTGCCTACATGGCGGACTCTCCCAACTGGGAGGTCTGGTTGGCGTTGGTGCACAAGGAGGAGCGCCGCCGCCACGTGCAGCTCAACCACAGCATCCCCCGCCGGCCCCAGAGGTCAAGCCGGAGGAGAAGGCGGCCTACCAGGCCATGCTAGAAGCGGCGACACAATGCGCTCTGGAGGAGAGCAGGGGCGATGAGGACCGGACAGCTCCGCGAGTGGGTTCGCGTGTCGCCCGTCTGGCTCAGCACGACGCCGGTGTCGTGGGAACGATTCCGACAATAATAAGGGATAGGGTAAAGGAGCATGATCTATCGAGATGCATATGGGTGACATGGTGGTTTTAGCGAGTTCGGGCCTCTCGCGGTGGAGATAACAGTGCTACATCTCGTGCTCTGGAGAGACTTTGTTTTATCTGAGTATGTATCCGAAGATTATTACAATAAGAGAGAGAGGAACGGATCCCCATGTCAAAGCTATGTCCTGAGACTAATGGCGAGAGAGTAGAGGGAGAAGAATGAGAACCTGCCTAGTCTAGTGGTGGGGTGGCTTATATAGAGTGCGCCACCCCCTCACCTCCTATGTTACAAAGAGGGGCATGAATGACATAATGTCAACCCACTACGAAACCTCCACTATGAGAATAATGCTTCGAATGCCTTGCCGACTGCTTGGTCTTCGCATATCCGAGTGAGCCATACCACCAAGTGGTTGACTATCTTCTGAGTGGACAGTACGTTGATATGTCCGAGTGGATAGTACACTGTATGAGGTCTATCTTGACCCACATGTTGTGTGGACCCCATGCTTTATAATATTTCTTCCCTTCGTGGGCCTACCTGTTATGTGTATCCCCGGCATTAGCCCCCGAATCGATTGCGATTTTGTAGAACGAGTTTGTGAAAGACACGGTTTGGCCTGAGTGATTACAGAAATACTCGGTACCTATCATCATGCTTTCAGACAACCAAGGTTTGAACAAAATCTCAATGGATTCCAGCACTGCGCTTCCCGACTGATCTGGGGTAAGTGCCCGCGAGGAGCAATTTGGTGACATTCGTTCATATCTCGAAGAGGTTAACTCATGATCAGAGTATGGGTGTGTCATTAAATCTTTGCAACAAGATTGACGCATGGATTGCTCTCTCAGAGAGATGCCATTCTTATCCTGAAGGAACGTCAATACGAGTCGGTTCTAGATCCAAACTTATGAGTTTCACGTTTTGAGTCCTAAAAGAAGGCTCAAAACAGGTCCGCGGAGGAGCATTAAACTCATCTTATAGCAATTTTTTGGTTAGTCGATGGGAGCCTTAGAACTTGTTTGTTTATTGTTCGTCACTCGAACCGGTCAGGCCGTATCGAGTGGAGATTACTCCAGTGGGGGCACGCTGAGTGCACCCACTAGGTGTAGTCCCCGAGACCGCCGTCGACTGCGGGTAGTCGGTGGGGGTCTGAGAGAACTAAAAATCTTCTTAGCTGGTACTGATCGAACTTGTACCTCTGTGACTCGGAGGTCGAGTAATACTTGAGGATCTGGTATTGGTCTAGCTTGTTCCTCCTCGACTCGGAAGTCGAGCAGTACTTGAGGATCTTGTACTGGTCTTGCATGGAGTAACAGATTACTCAGAATTTTGTTCGAGCAATCTTTTTTAGCTCTCTTCCAATGGGGGCATGCTGAGTGCACCCACTGGGTGTAGTCCCCGAGCCTCTATCGGACTAGATGAGTCTGGCAGAGGGTTTAAGTCCATTGGTAAACCTCCATGCAGTCGTCATGGTAATTATCTTTTAGTGTGAAATTGAGTCGATCGGATGGATCTTCAGGCACTTGGCATGGTAAATAAGCTCAGCCTAGAGCCGAATCAGTCGGACTGATCCTCGTGCACACGGCACGCTAAATAAATTCGGCCTGGAACTTGGTCAAGCGGGTGAATCTTCGTGCTCTCGGCACGGTGAATGAATTCGGCTTTGAAACTGCCAACTGTAGAAAAAAGCTGGACACTCCGGTGAGTAATCGTTCCAGTAGTACTTCTTACATTGACCGTTAGCTTCTGCATGAAAGGGGTATTTGTAAGAGCACATTGTATCCGTAAAGGAGCTTCATTTTCACCCTTTTGCATGAAATGCGTATTCGTCTGAGTGGACGTGCTTCCCGACTGATCGGGGTATGTTGACTACAAGGAAAAACTTGGTGGCACTCGTATGTCTCCCAGAGGAGATAGACTAGTGGTCTGACGTGGACATGCCATGAAACCTGGGTGGTGAGGCTAGTGTGTGGGCTGACTCTCCGGAGAGAGGCCACTCATTATCCAGGGGGAAAACCAGCACATGCCATCTCTGAGTCCAAGTTTGTGAAACTGACGCCTTGGAACCTAGAATAAGGGCCAAGTGTATCCGTAGAGGAGCGTCGTTTTCACCCTTTTGCAGTCTTGAAGATGACTTCAGGTAATGATTTGGGCGATCGTCCGAGTGGACACTATTACCCTTTTAGATTTTTGGCGGACCGAGCATGTATGGTCAGAAAGATATTCCTGATGTGATCAATGGGTTGATCAAATGGGCGTAACCCCTAAGGGCGGCATGGCCCACGGTTGTGCGTAGCCCCCGTGTGATGCTTGAAAGAGGTAAGCTTGAAGGAAATATGCCCTAGAGGCAATAATAAAGTTGTTATTTATATTTCCTTATATCATGGTAAATGTTTATTATTCATGCTAGAATTGTATTAACCAGAAACTTAGTACATGTGTGAATACATAGACAAACAGAGTGTCCCTAGTATGCCTCTACTAGACTAGCTCGTTAATCAAAGATGGTTAAGTTTCCTAGCCGTAGACATGTGTTGTCATTTGATGAACGGGATCACATCATTAGAGAATGATGTGATGGACAAGACCCATCCGTTAGCTTAGTACTATGATCGTTTAGTTTATTGCTATTGCTTTCTTCATGACTTATACATGTTCCTATGACTATGAGATTATGCAACTCCCGAATATTGAAGGAACACTTAGTGTGCTATCATACATCACAACGTAACTGGGTGATTATAAAGATGCTCTACAGGTGTCTCCGATGGTGTTTGTTGAGTTGGCATAGATCGAGATTAGGATGTGTCACTCCGATTGTCGGAGAGGTATCTCTGGGCCCTCTCGGTAATGCATATCACTATAAGCCTTGCAAGCAATGTGACTAAAGAGTTATTTGTGGGATGATGCATTACGAAACGAGTAAAGAGACTTGCCGGTAACGAGATTGAACTAGGTATGATGATACCGAATATCGAATCTCGGGCAAGTAACATACCGATGACAAAGGGAACAACGTATGTTGTTATGCGGTTTGACCGATAAAGATCTTCGCAGAATATGTGGGAGCCAATATGAGCATCCAGGTTTCGCTATTGGTTATTGACTGGAGATGAGCCTCGGTCATGTCTACATAGTTCTTGAACCCGTAGGGTCCGCACGCTTAACGTTCAATGACGATCGGTATTATGAGTTTATGTGTTTTGATGTACCAAAGGTAGTTCGGAGTCCCGGATGAGATCATGAACATGAAAGGAGTCTCAAAATGATCGAGACATGAAGATTGATATATTGGAAGACTATATTCAGACACCGAAATAGTTCCGAGGTGTATCGGGTATTTTCCGGAGTACCGGGGGGTTACCGGAACCCCCCGGGGGGTTATTGGCCCTCATGGGCCTATAGGTGGAAGAGAGGAGGCAGGCCAAGATGTGGCGCCCCCCCCCCCTAGCCCAAACCGAATTGGACTAGGGGGCCGTCCCCCCTTTCCTTCTCTCCTCCCTCTCCTTCCCCTTCTCCTTGTTGGAATAAGAAAGGAGGGTCGAATCCTACTTGGAGTAGGATTGCCCCCTATGGCGCGCCTCCTCCCCCTGGTCAGCCTCCTCCTCCCTCCCCCCTTTATATACGTGGGAGGGGGCACCCCAAAGACACACCAAAGTTTCTCTTAGCCGTGTGCGGTGCCCCCTCCACAGAAACACAGCTCGGTCATATCGTTGCAGTGCTTAGGCGAAGCCCTGCGTCGGTAACTTCATCACCACCGTCACCATGCCGTCATTCTGACGCAACTCTCCCTCGGCCTCAACTGGATCAAGAGTACGAGGGGCGTCATCGAACTGAACGTGTGCTGAACACGGAGGTGCCGTACGTTCGGTGGTAGGATCGGTCGGATCGTGAAGACGTACGACTACATCAACCGCGTTGATAAACGCTTCCA